CACTGTCACCACTTCTATTCAACACAGTACTGGAAGTCTTCGCCAGAGCAATCAGGCAAGAGTAAGGGCATCCAAACTGAAGAAGAGGTCAAATTATCCCTGTTGCTGGTGATACGATCTTATACCTAGAAAACCCTAAGGACTCCTCCAAAAGACTCCTAGATTAATGAATTCAGCAAAGTCTCAGGTTATAGAATCAATAGCATTTCTATACACCAACAACAACCAAGCTGAGAACCAAATCAAGAACTCAATCCCATTTACAACAGCTGAAAAAAAAGTAAAATACCTAGGAATAAATTTAACCAAAGAAGTGAAAGATCACTACAAGAACTACAAATCACTGATTAAAGAAATTGTAGATGACACAAACAAATGGAAAAATATCTCATGCTCAAGGACTGGAAGAATCTATATTGTTAGAATGACCATATTGCTTGCCCAATGTGATTTACAGATTCAATGCAATTCCCATCGAAATACCAATGTGATTTTTCACAGAATTGGAAAAAAAATTCTAAAATTCATATGGAACCAAAAAAGAGCCCAAATAGCCAAAGCAATCCAAAGCAAAAGGAACAAAAATGGAAGCATCACATTTTATACTACAAGTCTACAGTAACCAAAACAGCATGGTATTGGCACAAAAGTAGACAAACAGATAAAAGGAACAGAATAGAGAAGCCAGAAATAAAACCAAATACCTACAACCAACTGATCTTTGACAAAGGATGCAAAAACGTACACTGCAGAAAGGACACAATATTCGATAAATGGTGCTGGGAAAATTGGATACCCACATGTTGAAGAAAGAAACTGGATCCCTATCTCTCATCCATATATAAAAATCAACTCAGATGGATCAAAGACTTAAATGTAAAACCTGAAACAACAAAAATCTTAGAAGAAAACCTTGGGAAAACTATTCTGGACATTGGCCTAGACATAAAATTTATGACAAAGACCACAAATACAATAAAAACAAAAATAGACAAATGGGACTTAAACTAAAATGCTTGTGCAGAGCAAAAGAAGCAATCAGAAAAGTGCAGAGACAAACTACAGAACGGGAGACAATATTCACTAACTACATGCCTGACAAAGGATTAATACCCAGAATCTATAAGGAACTCAACTCAGAAAGAATAAAATAACCCATTAAAAAAAGTGGCAAATGACATGAACATGCATTTTTCAAAAGATATACTAATGACCAAGAAACATGAAAAAATGCTTAACATCACTAATCATCAGGGAAATGCACACTAAAACCACAATGAGATACCATCTTAACTCCAATTAGAAGAGCCACTATTAAAGTTACAAAACAACAGATGTTGGTGTGGATGTGGTGAAAAGGGAACACTTTCACACTGTTGGTAAGAATATAAATTAGTACAACCTCTACAGAGATCAGTATGGAGATTTATCAAAGAACTAAAAGTAGACTATCATTATTAGATCCTGCAATCCTACTACTGCAGATCTACCCAGAGGAAAAGAAATCATTATATAAAAAAAGACTGCTGCACTTTTATGTTTATTGCAGCACACATCACAATTGAAAAGATGTGGAATCAACCTAACTGCCCATCGACTGATCTCTCTGCCCCTTACTTTCTTCATATATGAAATGTTTTTTAAAAGTGCCAAGGAGTTCATACAGGAGAAACACTTACCACGAGGCCTTGGTGTGCAGTGCACTGTCAGTTAAGTAAGTGCTAATGATTATTATAAGATTATAATAAAACTATCCAAGACTCTCTTCAGAAACTACACATATGACAAAATGTCTATTTCATTGCTAGAATTTCTTCAAACCAAGGCAGATCTGCTAACAACTTTAAAGTAAGGTTTAAAAAAAAAAAGATGTTGGCCGGGCGCGGTGGCTCACGCCTGTAATCCTAGCACTCTGGGAGGCCGAGGCGGGCGGATTGCTCGAGGTCAGGAGTTCGAAACCAGCCTGAGCAAGGGCAAGACCCCGTCTCTACTATAAATAGAAAGAAATTAATTGGCCAACTAATATATATATATATAAAATTAGCCGGGCATGGTGGCGCATGCCTGTAGTCCCAGCTACTCGGGAGGCTGAGGCAGAAGGATTGCTTGAGCCCAGGAGTTTGAGGTTGCTGTGAGCTAGGCTGACGCCATGGCACTCACTCTAGCCTGTGCAACAAAGTGAGACTCTGTCTCAAAAAAAAAAAAAAAAAGATGTTAAAGAGTTAGTAGTCGTAGAGCACTAACTTGCCATCTAACCAACTGAAGATCATCAGAAGCAACCTATTCCATGTTGATACAGAATCTATGAGAAATGTTCAAGTTATGTATTCATGATCCTTTAAGGGCAGAATCACTTCTAACTTATTTTATTCCCTCTTCCATTTCTGACTCTCTTTAATTCAAGAGATGGTATTTTTACAAATCTATCTAGAAAATTATAATAAATTATATTTACCCTACCAAGAAATTCTTGATTTTGGCAACTACACAGAATTTAAGATGCAACACCTGGATGTGCACAGGTATTCAGTTAAGTTTTCTATAATTTTAATTCATTAATTAGATCATTATCATCTAAGTGTTTTTTATCTCTGCCCTTAAATGCAGATATATAGCATTCTATACTTGCAAATATCTTAACATATCCACTTAATTAAAAAATTGTAAAGCAAAATCAATTTAGTTTATCTAGCACTATGCAACACATATAATTTGCTCTTAAATTTAACTGATTTTCCGAAATGCTAGTGTGGAGAAAACGTAGACATCCACCCAATGTAAGTGCTGTGCCCTGCAACCTTTCCACCTAAGGATTTCCAGGGTGACTGTGTATGGTTAAAATACACATGCACTTGAATTTTATCTGCCTATTAGATAGGATTAGAAGACTACACTGCAAAAAAATTTTAAACAAAAACTGTAAGGGCAACTGAAGAATTGTTTTCAAAGATGTAAGTCCAACAAAATGAACACCACATGACCCACCACTTTGCACCAGCGCCTCCTGCTCAGATAGGCCTGCGGGCACATCCCTTGACCCCGCCCGTCCCATCGAAGGCTCTCTTTCTGCCAAACTCCCTGCCGTCTTGGACTCCAAGCTTGCTCCTCAAACCGCTGCAATCTGGCCTCCACCCTCAACTCTCAACCCTCTGCTGTAACCACTCTGCAGGGTCCCCAAAACTCCTAACTGCCAAACACAACTGCCCACGTGTAGTCCGGATTCTATATCCTCACATATGCAGCACGAGACACTCCTGATGCCTTCTTCTCCTTCCTGACACCTACCCCCTTGGGCTCCTGCTGGGCTAAGTCTTTTCTCATTCTCCCACCTCCTCTGCCACCACTGATCTCTCAGTGCACTGTTTCTTAAGTCTCCATCCCACAAATCTTCTACTTAACACATAAAACAGGATGACTTCCAAATGTCTGCCTCCTGCCAGGAATGGGACTTGAGGCCCCTATTTCGCTACATGACCGCGTCAAAGATGCCGTCTACTCAACTCACCTGAAACAGCACTCAGTTCAATATTCTCCCTAGAAAACCTTCCTCCTCCTCCTTCAGCTAATGGCAAATGCCATCCTAGTGCTCAAGAAGGAACTTCACCTCCACAGAAAGACTTAATAGTAGTTTCACTTCTGAAACATTTCTTGAATTTGCTTCTTCCTGTTTCACTGCCTTTTTCCTAATTCTAACTCTTTTGTCTTTTACCTGAGTTTCTGCAACAGCCACTTTAAATCTATTCTCTGCAGAAATTTGCAAAAAGCAAATTTCTCATCCCATCACACCCATGCTTAAAAATATCCAATCACCTCAATGAGTACAAATATGAAGTTCTAAATTCTTTCATAATACACATGATGCTCTTTGTGTTCTGACCAAATCTGCCATATTCCCCTTGGGGGAACTGGGGTGAGATGCCCAGGAGGCTAACTCAAATGGCCAAGGCCAGGGAGGCTGTCTGTGGGTGAACACAAGCCAGTGTCTGAGAAGAGGAGCCTTAACAAACCTACCTAAGCTCAAATGGGACTCCTGGCAAGGCCACACACAAACTGGAGATGAGCGAGTTGGGACATGGAAAGGGCCACAGCCCACAGAAGCAAGCAGAAAGAGTCCAGAGGTGGGCAGAGGCGGATGGCAGGTGACAAAGGCTCAAGTTCCAGGAAGAGCCCTGGCTGGCCAGCCAACATCACCACCCTCCAGGCATCATCCCTAGCAGCTCCACTGCCGCCCAGGCCAGAGTTCTAGGAGCCGGCAGCCTCCCCAGAGAGCTAGGCAACTGTAACAAATGAAAGACGATGATACTTATAATGCCAAGAACGATAAAAGATTTGTGGGTGAGGCTGTAAGTTTGGTTTCTAACTTGTTGAGATGCCTTTAAGCATTCACGTGGACATGGACCTCATCTGGAAAACAAGGATGATGCCTTGAGAGGCTCAGACAAGATACACAACGCACCTGGCACAGGACCACACCCACGACAGGTGCTTGATGCACAGTGGCCTGGCCCCCGTCAAGTCTCCCGAGGCCCTGTGAGACTCTCAGAACTGTCTGCCCTTTCCATTTTCCCTCCCTGCTCCTTCCCTCAATCCCAACCCCCACTCCAGCCTAACTGCTCTTCCTGTGCCCCAGAGGACAGCACTTCTGCAACTCCAAGACTTTGCCTGTTCAAAGCAAATTCCGGTCCCCATTAAGGTCTCACTCAAATTCTACCTCTTTGGGGAACTTCTCCCTGTATGCTAACCAATGACCTTCAGTGGGTCCCTTGAGTTCCTACACCTCTTTTCTGTAACATTCATGTGACAATATCACAAGTAGGTTATGATGTGAGTTTTTACATACATGATGCCATTCTTTGCAACCAGACTCACAGATTCCTGCTCTGTGTCTTCCCACAGTGCCTCAACCACTGAAGGTAGTCGACAAATATTCACTAACAAATTCATCAACCAAGATGTTTTCAATCATGACATACTAGATTTGGGTGGGCAGATCCACGTACCTCTAGGATTTCGGTGTCTGAAACCATGGTTACTTCTTGCTTTATTTCAGGCCCCATATTCATGGGGTCTTCTTGTTCAATTTCAGGGTGTGTATAAATAGAAGCTTCTAGCTTAAATTCAGAGTCTGTTGCTATAGGTAATTTTTGCTGGATTTCAGGGTATGCACACATGGAAACTTCTTGCTTGGATACAGGATCTGCATATAAGGGAACTTCTTGTTTGGATTCAGGATTTGTGCACATAGGAACTTCTTGCTTAGATTCAGGGTCTGTACACACGGGAACTTCTTGCCTGAATTCAGGGTCTGTACACATGGGAACTTCTTGCCTGGATTCAGGGTCTGTACACACGGGAACTTCTTGCCTGGATTCAGGGTCTGTACACACGGGAACTTCTTGCCTGGATTCAGGGTCTATATACACGGGAACTTCTTGCTTGGATTCAGGGTCTGTACACATGGGAACTTCTTGCCTAGATTCAGGGTCTGTACACATGGAAACGTCTTGCTGGGATTCAGGGTCTGTACACTTGGGAACATCTTGCTTGGATTCAGGGTCTGAACTCATGGTTATTACTTGTTTGTCCAAAGCTGTTATACCTTTGGGCTTCAGGAAAAACCATGGCGATTTCTGTCCCGGCAAAAGATATGATGCCACTCCCTTATAAAAAAGAGCTTTGTTTGGTCCCAAAGGTAATATGTCTTCTAATTTTTTCTCACCTTGATGCAAGCGACGAACTTTAGATATATGATCTGACACAGCTAAGATAACGTTGCCTTTTTTGTCAAAGTTTTCTTTTACAGAGGTATAGGAAGATAAGCACTTGTACCGAAAGCTTTCAAACATGCCCTCTGGGATGATGTCGTTGCCAAGTAGGCAGGCCAGCAGAGGAAGGTCTGCCAGGTGGAGGTCCAGGCTCTCACAGAGTTTCTCTCTACAAAGCATGACAGTGTCCAGGCTCTCCAGACAGAGCTCGCTAATAGAAAAATAGGGGCAAGTGTCATAGATTAAGTAATCCGTGTCTTCCCCAAGAATCCCAAGACAGTCATGCTGGAGACCGTAGGAAGCAACCTCGTAGTCTGCCTCCCGCAATGAGCAAAAAGTCTCCTGACCCAGGGTCTTCAGGGCAAATCGTGTGAACACGGCTAGACCCGAGGGGATAAAGAACATGTTTCTGGCGGGCTGCTGCCTGTGCGACTTGATGTGATGAAAAATCCTGCTGATCTCCTTGTTGTTCTTCAGTCTTCGCCTCACCCATTCATCCCGCTTACCCTGCTCCACCGTGCCATCAAAGAAGAACACCAGCCTGATGCCGACAGCCGAGAAGGTTTTCACAAAGTCTCGCAAAGCAGAAAAGTATTCTCGCCACTGGCCACCACAGACCCAGGATTCTGGAGTGTACCAGTACCTGAGACAACACATGGCATCCACCACCACAGTGGGAGTGCACGCCGGGTGCCGGCTTCGGTGCTGTGCCGCCAGGTCTTTCAAATTTACCACTGTGCACACGTGTGGGCAGGTACTTCCCACAAATCCTTGCAAACCTCTTACACCCATAGCTGAACTCTGGGAAAGATCTGGAAAGAAAAACAGATTAGTAATTAGTGATTAAGAATTACCACTAGACATATGGCATCTTTCAAAACAAACACAAGACAACATTTAATATTCTTTCTCTATTTCCAAAAAAACACTTGTCATCAAGGTGACATGATACACTGGTTAGGAACCTAAAGAGTTTATAATTACAACACATGAGGACTTCACCCAAATGGAAGGTAATTACTTTAGCTAGACTTTCACAAGGCCAATAGAGTGTAACCATCTTTTAAGATTTTCACAAAGGTTACTATTCAAGATGTTTCTCAACCAAATTCAAGAAGAGGTTAACAGTTTTCAAAAAAGTAGTATTTCTCATTTAGAAGTAGGAACTCAAATAGAAGTTATGGTTAAAAATCTAAAACATAAATTGAAACACGCAACATAGATGATCCTCAAAATCATCTTGCTGAATAAAAGCAGCCGGACAAGAAGAGAACACACTATGACTCAACTCACATCAGATCCTAGTCCACTGCGCTCAGCTAACCTGCAGTGACAGAAAGCAGATCCACGGTTGTCTGTGATAGGACAGACAGAGGGATTACCACGGGGACACTTATGGGGTGACGGATATGTGCACTACTTTGTGGCGATGGTTTAAAGCTCATCAAATTGTACACTGTGAAAATGTGTCAAATATATCTCAATAAAGGTGTTAAAAAAGTTACATAAAAATTTACTATACCAAACATTGTAACATGAGATACTGATGACATTAAATGGAAAACTGACCCATTCTAAAATTTAGAATCAGAAACAAAGTAGTTCAAGAGTTAGAATTTAGAATGTGGAAATTGTATAAGCAGAATACTGTATATATGTAACAATATGCTCATATATAAGACATAATATAAAGCTTTCTGCAAGTAGGCAATATCCATCACATTCAAGAAAAAAACCTATCATGACATTTTTTAATCCTAAATGGCCTATTTTTTCCACTATACTTTTTTTTTGAGACAGAGTCTCACTCTGTTGCCCCGGCTAGAGTGCATGGCATCAGCCTAGCTCACAGCAACCTCAAACTCCTGGGTTCGAGCAATCCTTCTGCCTCAGTCTCCCAAGTAGCTGGGTCTACAGGCACGTGCCACCATGCCCGGCTAAATTTTTTCTATATATTTTTAGTTGGCCAATTAATTTCTTTCTATTTTTAGTAGAGACGGGGTCTTGCTCTTGCTCAGGCTGGTTTCAAACTCCTGACCCTGAGCAATCCTCCGGCCTCAGCTTCCCAAAGTGCTAGGATTACAGGCGTAAGCCACTCGCCACTAGCCTGGCCTTCCACTATAGTTTTAAGTGTTATCAGGGCCGTATGTCCTTTAATACAACAGAACAAAAAGTCCTTATTATGCAAACACCAACACAGAACAAATGAGGCCTCCCCTAGACTCAGGATTGAGGGTAGCAGTGGTGTTGCAAGTGACTGCGCACAACACCTCTCATCCTACAATCCACTGTATCTGCCAGCCACCAAATAGCTGGGCATTCACCATACAAAATCTTCAATCTTTGAAACGACCCTGACAAAGAAAAGCTATAAGCTATATTTTACAAATGAAGAAACTGTGAATATATCACCAGGTTGAGAAAAGCCACCCTGACAGGACTACCTTTGAGGGATTTACTGATTTAAATGGACATTAGCCCCTAACAAAATTTGAAGTTATGTGTTTAATAGCCATTAATAATAAAAATATGCAAAAATTGAGTTTACATAAAAAGCACACATTTCATATGTTGAAATTTGGAGAAGTCTTGCTCATTAAACTATTAAATATACTGTGATGCATGAATACATATACCCCAGATCACTATTACAGGGCTATTACTCAAATACCGTTCATCCTGGAAACACAGGAAAAACAAGGTATTTGAGTTTTTGAAGAAGAAATAATATGATTATCTCAACTATAAATTGGTTCTGCATTTTGGACCCCTGGGCATGGATCCTAAGTCCAGGAAGGTTACACTCTTATTTCTGACGTTATTCCAACACAGCAGGCAGGGGACAGGCTTTGGAAAGGGAATACAAGCACACAAAGAAAGTTGGTCAGAAGGATTAAAAAACTTCACTTATATTTCACAAACTCAAGACTTGTTTTATGCCTATCCTTGATGAAGTGTGCTGTGCAAGGTTTGTTGGTAATGAGCCAACCAAAGATAAACCTGGACTCTGACTTGGTTTTCCATATTGTGAAAAACCCTGCTTCTCCCACCAAGCTCTGTGAGAGGGTGTGGAGGGCCCAACAGAGCCCACGGCCAGCCCCTGCAGATTCTTCCCTCCTCCATGTAAGGCTGGTGGCAGGCCCCCTCCCTTCCCTAGATCAAAAAAGAAAAGGCTCATGAGACCAGACCTGCCAAGGTCAAAACTGCCAGGCCCTGCCCAGATGTCCACCTGGATAAGAACTTTTTGGCTCTTGGATTCCACAAATACCTCCAGCCCCTCCTAAAATCCCCAGCTCTTCCCGCCAAAAGTCCCTAGCCAGGCCCAAAGGGTATAAAAGGCCTCAACACCTTCAAACAGCGGTGACTTCTGGGGCCCCCCTTCTCTTGGGGCCCCAGAACCTCGTCCACGAGTGTATAATAAAGCCACGTAGTTTGGCCCCCACTCTTTCTCTCTCTGTGTCTGTCTTTTCTTTTCGCCACCAAAAAACCTTACACTCCACAGGCCCACTGGGGTCAGAAGCCAGCAGCAGATGGGACTGCCAGGCTCTGGCAGCTCCCAGTTACTGGCTGCATTGCTCAAGACAGGTAAGAAGCCACATGCCCACACGCGGAGATAAGGCCAAGAGGGGAAGCAAAGCAAACTCTCCTTCACTCCCACTTCCAGGCAGATGTGGCCCAGCCTCCAGCAGCAGCGTCTGCCACATTTGGGTGGGCTGCCTTCCCTTGCCAATAAAAAGGGATTTTTGTTTCAAGTATTTTCTATTACAACTGCAAGTGACAATACTGAATTTCTCAAAATATTCTCCTCTTTATTTTGAAAGTCAGGCTCAGTCCTCTGAGTTTATTCAAATGCTTTTCCTTCTTTCTCATCCAGTACTGAAAAGCTCACTATTTTAATTAAGCAGGCACTGGTTCTTCCTGTCTTTCATACTGCCAATTTCTCACATTTTGAATCACAAATTACCACAGGAATGTTACATTACAATGGGCTCTTCTACAGCACACACAAAGAAAAATGGGGGTAGGCAGGGATTTGGGAGCTTGTGACACTGGAGGGTGTCTCCCAGTATTTCAGCACCTTCAAAGCGTTAAATATTTGCAACACTCACTTTTACTGCAGTTAGTGTGGTATGCAATAAGTTCTCTAGAAAGACAGAAAACTCTGTGGATATTACAATTTTTGAAACCTTTTATTTCTTTATGTAAAGATAGTGATTATAGGGTGACTGAGGGGAGGGGAAATGTGTGTGTGTATAAAATTCATTCTACCTGCAAATTATACAGGAAATTTTCATTATCTAGATAATTGTTTAGAAAGAAATATAAGTTCTGTCTCACCAAGTAGGAGTCTCATTGCCCCAGTACAGCCTGGGGCGCTCTGAGCACCACTACCATTAAGATGGGCCTCACCACTCTGGCACAGCCTAGCGCCCGGCACATCTACCACCTGACAGGCCCAGCTAAGTACTCAAATGAGTAAACGAATGAATCCATGATGTATCAGAGAAACTGGGAACTGACAAGTTTATAGAATTAAACAGTGGCCAAAGAAACAGTGCAGAGTAGAATCACTGCCCTCAAGAGGCTTACAAAGGGTCTGGGCAACAAATCTCCAGCAGGAAAGAGGCAAGGAGCTGCTGGCAGGCAAGAGGCACAGCTGGAGGCCACCTCATCCTCAGGGGTGGCTTGAGACTCCTCTGACAGCCTTACCAGTCCCAACATACTGTGTTACCAGGGGAAGTAGAAAGAAAGAGGAAAGGGGAAATACAGAAGCTTCCTTACTCGCACTCTTTGGGCTTACAAAAATGAGGAGTGGCATGCCTCAGCAGAAACATACCAACCCTCGACACTGACGGATGTCCCAGGCAGTGCAGACCATTCTACAGGGTCACTCTGGACACAGGGACAATGGATTTGTGGACAGCCCAAGGGGCACCTTCCATGTGGAAAACAGCCTGTGCAAGACAACCAGTACCTGGCAGCAGTGACTGCCTCAAGGCACACCCAGCTCCCCAACCCTGTCACAGCATAATTTTCAAAAGCTAAAAGACATAATTTATGCAAACGGTATTTAGCAAGGGAGCTTAAGAGACAGGGAAGCTGGTTCACAGCAGTGGAAGAGCTGGAATTCACAGTCCATCAGGAAAGGCACACTAAAATAAGCTTTTTAAATTGGAGAAAATAAATCCATAACTTTTGGACTTATCTTTACCAGACAGAAATAATTTTCATCTCCATAAGACAAATATCTACAAATCAGCATATTACATCAGTGTCTGGACTCTAATTGGGAGTAAATAGCAAAGTCAAACAGAAGTACATTTGTTAGAAAATTAAATAATCTTGGGTGAATCTGTCAAACAATAGCCCCATATGACAGTACAAAGCATGCAGTCTTCTTTTGTTCTTGCTTTATTTCCAAGCATGAAATAATTTTTCTTTCAATGATAACTGCTAGCTGAGCCTGGGTCCTCCCAGGCTCCCAGGCTCCCAAGCTCCCGTGGCTTGGTATGGAATGTCTACTGTTTCTTCTCTCCTCTCCTCTTCTCCTCACTATCCCCCCCTAAAAAGTGAAACTTACAGGGACCTCTTAACACCAATACAGTGAGAACGGGAACTAAAAATCCCAAGAGATCACTATTTACCCCATGCCAGAACATAGGATAGTGTCTGCTAAAGGTTCATTGCGTATTTATGAACGTACAAACAAACAACCAAGTGAATAAATAAACCAAGGATGGGTGCAAGTTGGTCTTGATGCTTTAGAGGGTCTCTGTGCAGGGCTTATTCAAGAGCTGAGTTTCCCAGGAAT